CCAGGTTGTCAGTCACTGAAGCTGCACGACTGTGTAATGTATTCATGACCTTTGAACTTTGACCACATGACAGTCATGCAGCATTCTATTAAAACTTCATCAATATCTATAATTCTCTAATGTATATTAGTATACCTGACTATCATATATTTGTTATGCAAAACCTCAACCCTATGATCTCTGAAGTTTCTCTCTTTCATATTGTACCTGCTATTTTGGAGATAATTGATAATTTTAGTACTGTAATGTATTTGTTACCTTTGACCCATTGACCTCTAAATTGTGTCAGAAATATAACTTACATCCATGCCTATATTACTTTAAACATATATATCCATACAAAATCATACCTTTTTCTGAGGATCATTTCATAATAAATAATGATTAAGTCATTATTCTGGTAAAAAAAATTGAAGGAATCTAACAGTGTTCTGGGAGACAAAAGAGCACGTCATGTATAACATATGTGCATATTTTCTATGAAATTATCCCATTATCCTGGGAAGATTAGGCAGTACAAAATTGTGTCCACAGACGGGAAGACAGACAGGCAATTGGAACAGTCTACCATCCAATGATGATAGATTAAAAAATAATAAAACATAATAAAACAATCTGTTACTTTAAGAAATATGTTACTTTACACATTATTTCAATAATCATACATAAGTTATTCCCCTCAAATTGGTTTACCAGCTGATTCTAGATAACTAGATGATCTAAAAACAGAAGAATTTTTATGAATCATCTAATATATACATATATGTATATGAATATATATAAATATATGAAGTTTTTTGTCAATATTCCAGTGTTTTTACTAATCTTTGTGTATGACATACATCTATAATATGAAATTCTGAACTTTCAGTAGATTGTACAGCAGATATCCCCTATTTCATTAGATGTACATTTACCATCCTTCAATAAGCCCATGCTCTGCTACCTTGCCAAACTTTCACGTGTTCTACACCTTTAGTAAAAATGCCAACAAATGCCATACCACCCATCCTGTAATAAGCTTATCCCTCTGCTATGAGTGAGAGACTATGTAACTATGGTGGCCTCTAGGCTTATTACATAATACACTGGGTGATGGGAACCCCCCCCCAACTTCCTCGGCTCCTCCAGCTTATATAGCATAGTAATAACAGGCTGGCATCTCTCATACCAACAGTACTTTAACAACAATGGCTTCCATGCATAGTACATTGTAGCTAATTAAGCACTACCAAATAAAACATGTAGGAAGTAAGATGCCTTTTCAAATACTTGATAAGCGTCAATTAAAAGATTGGAAATTTATCTGTCTATGCTATCAGGGAAAATATAAATGAGCTCATAAAAACTCTTTCTACACCCCTCATTTAAATTCATATACAATTTAATGAGTAAAAATGTGAGAATAAAGATAACATATTGAATAAGAGAAAAAGTTTTAAAAGAGACCACAAACAGTTTAAGCTTCCACTTACAGCGGATAGATTCTACCGAAAACCCCTCCAAATATAACCGCAGAAAACTGATTTATGGACTTCCTGCTGAGAGTGTGAGGTTAACAGGCGACAAAATAATGTGAAGTTTTATGTTTTCTTCCACAGAAAATTGATGTTTCCACATAGATTCAATATTGGATCAAAATTATGAAATTAAACCATATGGAATGTAATTATGTAGCAGTTAAAAGTCTAAATTACATCACAATTTGAAAATAAATCATCTCCAATGACTTTCACTTTTAATATCACAATCAACACTTTAGATGGTCTGCATTTTAGTTCATATCCTTGCTCAGTGAACAGGCAGACAAGTCTAACTAAGTTACACTTAATGTATAGTTAGTATAACTTTGAGTCTGAGAACTGATCCTGTAACTATACATATATATGTACAGTCAGTATTTATACAATCTACATAACATACATGATGGCTGAAGTCACAATTCACTAACAACCAGATTAGTGGTGATTGGTCAGTGGGACAACCCAATTAGTGGTGGTTGGACAGTAGGACAACCAGATTAGTGGTGGTTGGACAGTAAGACAACCAGATTAGTGGTGGTTGGACATAAGACAACCAGATTAGTGGTGGTTGGACAGTGGGACAACCAGATTAGTGGTGGTTGGACAGTAGAACAACCAGATTAGTGTTGGTTGGACATAAGACAACCAGATTAGTGGTGGTTGGACAGTGGGACAACCAGATTAGTGGTGGTTGGACAGTAGAACAACCAGATTAGTGTTGGTTGAACAGAAGGACAATCAGATTAGTGGTGGTTGAAATATGGGACAAGTAGATTAGTTGTGGATTAAATATGGGACTAGCAGATTAGTGGTGTCCAAATCAGTTGTGGTTGGACAGTGGGACAACCAGATTAGTGGTGGTTGGACAGTGGGACAACCAGATTAGTGGTGGTTAGACAGAAGGACAATCAGATTAGTGGTGGTTGAATTATGGGACTAGCAGATTAGTGGTGTCCAGATTAGTGGTGGTTGAATTATGGGACTAGCAGATTAGTGGTGTCCAGATTAGTGGTGGTTGGACAGAAAAAAAAACAGATTAGTAGCGACTGAAATATGGGACAAGCAAATTAGTGGTTGCTTAAATATGAGATGACTAGATCAGTGATAGCTGGAAAGTAGGACATCTAGATCAGTGATGACCCCATCTACATGAAATACTTATTGGCATCAAAAAATATGGAAAGTGTAAAATTCTGCATAACAATTAATCAAATCTTACTGGATACAGATATGCATGCAGTTAGGATGTCATCTTTTTGCAGGCACTGTCTTGGTAGCTAGTATATCACATTTCTCAATATTTTTCAACTTTTAAAAACAAATATCCATTAGTTTAAAGCTTTTCCCTTCTGGAAACAATAAAAGACCAGAAAAAAATCAGTGGATGAGATATGAGCTGTACATTGTTGCTTGCAGGTACTGTACAGAGGGTACCACTCTTTGTAGTTTGATATCCACATATTGATCAGAACAGAAAGAGGGCAGGTTGCAATAGGCATGCAGAATTCAACTCCATGTGAGGAAAAAAATCAATAGTTACGAAACTGTATGTTACTGTAAGAGATGTCCCTATCTTAAAATACGTTGTGGACAGATTTACAGCGGAACATTCCCCTGCACGTTCTTGATCAATTGATTCTATGTCATCGCCTTGACAGTTGCAAGTAGAAACTATCTGCAGATCAACCTGAATATTTTTGTAATCAGATATCTTGTGGGAAAAAAATGAGGAAACAGCAACAGTGTATCTCGTATCATCCTATATGTACACCTTGTCTAGTGTTATCTTATATATATATATACATAGTATGTAGTGTAATCTTGTATATACATAGTATTAAGTGTCATCTTATATGTATATATATATATAATGTAGTGTCATCTTATAGATACATAGTATTTTTTGTCATTTTATATACACAGTATCTACTTTCATCTTATATATGTATATAAATAGTATTTAGTGTCACCTTGTGAATACACAGTATTTGGTGTGATCTTATATATATACACTGTGTCTATTGTCATGTCATATATATACATCGTATCTAGTGTCATCTTTTATATACACAGTGTCATGTTATATACATAGTATCTAGTGTCATCTTATATATACAGTATCTAGTGCCATCTGATATATACATAGTGTTTACTGTCATCTTATATACATAGTATCTAGTGCCATCTGATATATGCAGTATCTAGTGCCATCTGATATATACAGTATCTAGTGTCATCTCATATACATAGTATCTAGTGCCATCTTATATATACAGTATCTAGTCTCATCAGATATACAGTAAACTTTTAGTCCGTTTAAACAAGATTATGTATATACCGCTCAACATGTTCAAATTATACAAAATTATGCTCCAGAAATATCATGGTCAACATTGGCCAAAACCACCATGAAGTGTCAAAAAGCATCTTAGCATAGTAGGAAAATACCGTTTGGATTTGGCATTTTCTCGGGGTGTGATCATAGAATTATTATCTTTTAAAACACTTACCGTACTGCAACACATGTTAATCGACTGTTAAGAAATCAAAAGTCTAATTTTGATTGTCATAACTTTAGATATTGTGAATTAGAAACCAGTCCATAAAAAGCACATTTCTGCTTGTGTAATGGCTGAAGTTAGCATTATCGGTATGTTGAGTGTAGAAATAGTCTTCATTTGATTATAGATTAATGTTTGTTAAAATCTTTATGTAATTTATGATTATCGGGACTGTTTTGACGAGATTATCTATCAAAATTGACAATACATATGGCAACATCCATGGTCCGTGTATATTTACTGATTGTTAAGCTTGTAATACAGAGTTGGGGCCTTGAGTTGCGTCATCTGGCGCATGCACGATGTTACGACATGTGAAAGAAATCACACTACATCAAAGCTAAATAAGTAACATGTATGTGTAATCTGATGCCATCAATTGCTTATGATGATCGTTTACAGCTTGCTATCCACAGCGTTTAAAATCTCAATGTGAATAGTGACCACATGGAGCGATTATTGTGACGCCAATGCCACTATCAATAGATATATGTGCAGTCTTGCGATATCTTGTACAATTTGAAATGTAAATGAAATAAACTATAAAGGGTTCGAACTATCACTAGAAAGAAAATCATTATTTTTATAGAAAAAATCACGTGTTCGTAATAACCAGCTGTTCGAACTGACCAGAAATATTACCATACACAATCTTGTGTCATCTTCTATATACACCGTGTCTTATATATACATATATATATATATATATATATATATTTATGTATGTATATATATGTATATATATGACAGCTTTCATCTGATAGGATAATTATTCATGTTTCACAGATATCTTCCTATTGGCCAAGAAACTTCTATGATTATCATTTCAACATCAGGTTACATAGTGTCATGATAATTGCTATATACATGGTATAAACACAAGATAAAGTAATAAAAATGACAAAGAAAAACTCACTGAAGTTGGTCGGCATGTGAGGACTAGCATGCTTCCACTTGAACAAATCTGAAATGACAAAGAACATAATTATTATTATTTTCACAAAGGATAACTGTTTATTGATCAATAATAAATCTTTATTTGACCTTTGACCTTGAGATGAGGGGTCACAACAATCTAATGACAAGGCAATGCATGTTGTCTTGTGAGTGATGCTTCAAGCTTAATCCAGGTATCACTAGCGGTTTGAGAGCTATGCATGACCCTCGCCAAAATGTTCTGAAAATTTTGTTCTTATTTGAACTTTTACCATGAAGTGAAGATAACAGTGACCTCAGAAAACAGAAAAACAAATTCAATTGATTTTTCTCACTTATTTTCCTTTCCTGTTTGTCAATGTCCCACTTTGAAAACAAAAAGTATCATATGCATTCAGGGGATATTAGTTCAGTTAAGTACTTTAGGGATTTAGACAGTTAAAGAGGCCCATTTGGCCTGCATTACTCACCTAGTATTTAATACTTTTCAATAATAAATTCAACAAAGTCTTGGATATTGAGAAGAAGCCATTTGAAGGTTTAGACAATTTGATCCTTGTGACTATTTCTTTCCCCAAACTGAATTTTATCTAAATACCAGCCAAATATCATAATTTTATGCCTTCTGGTTGATTAGAAAGAGGTCATTTGAATGTTTTAAACATATTTGACCTCTATGACCCTAAATATTAGTCAAAAACATTTTTTTTTTCAGAAACGTTAGTGAGACTTAATCCCAGAAACCTTCCAGCCAAATATCATTATTCTGGTCAATTGGCTAGTGAGAAGTTGTTTAAATGTCTTCGATAATTTTTGATCCCTGGAATGTTGAATATGGGTCAAGATAAATTCTTGTTGCAAAATTTCACTGAAATTTGTTCAGTGGTCTTCTAGAAGGAGACTAAATTGTCTACAAAGGACAATTAACAATGCTGGAAAAAAAGTGATCATAAAAGATCATCATGAGACTTTGTCTCAGGTGATCTAAAAATGCTCTTATTTTGTACCTTTTTATGCATGGGTTTAGCCCTATCTTGTAATAATTTGTATTATCTGGTGACAAATATCAAAGAAAACTAATAGGATATTAAAATGTAGAGAGTTTCTTTTTTGTTTTTTGAATTACTCATCTTGAGGATACAACAGCAGGAAAGGGTAATTAAACTTTGCAAGGCAATTCACAACATGTCTTCTTCCTGGTCTTTATTAAATTACAAACTACATCAAAGATCAAAATTATCACTCTAACCTCCAATTGAAGGTTGTGGATATGTATAAATATTCAGACAAGAAAGGATAACAAAGGAGATGAGGCTGGAGAGGGTAGTAAGGGGGTGAGGAGGAGGGAGTGAGGCTGAAGAAATAGAAAGGGGGTGATGTGGAGGGGGTCACTAAGAGGGTGAGGCTGGAGAGAGAAGTAAGGGGGTGAGGTGGAGGGGGTCACTAAGGGGGTGAGGCTGGAGAAATAGAAAGGGGGTGAGGTGGAGGGGGTGACTAAGAGGGTGAGGCTGGAGAGAGAAGTAAGGGGGTGAGGTGGAGGGGGTCACTAAGGGGGTGAGACTGGAGAGGGAAGTAAGGGGGTGAAGTGGAGGGGGTCAATACAAGGCTGGAGAGGGAAGTAAATGGCTGAGAGTGGAGAGGGTAGTAAGGGGATGTGAGTGGAAAGAGAAGTAAAGGGTGCGATGGAGAGGGTAGAGATAGTAGTAAGGGGGTGTGATGGAAGGGGATCAACAAGGTTGGGGGGGATGAGGCTGGAGAAGGTAAGGGGGTGTGATGGAAGGGGATCAACAAGGTTGGGGGGGATGAGGCTGGAGAAGGTAGTAAGGGGATCAGAGTGGAAAGGATGGAAGAGGATCAATAGGGGGGGGGGGTAGAGGCTGGAAAGAGAAGTAAGAGAGTGAGAGTGGAAAGAGGAGTAAAGGGGGTAGAGGCTGGAGAGAGAAGTAAGAGGGTGAGAGTGGAAAGAGAAGTAAAGGGGTGAGGATGGGAAAAGTAGTAAGAGGTTGAGGCTGGAAAGGGAAGTGAAAGGGTGAGGCTGGAGAGTATTAAGGGGATGAAGTTGGAGAAAGTAGTAGTGGGGTGAGGCTGGAGAGAGTAGAACGGGATTGTGGCAGAGGGGATCAGTAAGGGGGTGAAGGTGGAGAGGAAAGGAAGGGGAAAAGGAGGTTGAGGGTGGAAAAGGTAGTAAAGGGATGAGGGTTGAGAGAGTAATAAGGGAGTGAGGGTGGAGAGGACCACTCTAATCATCAATCATAAAATGTGGCAAAAAAAGTAGTTGATTTTTATATTGTGAAAGAAAACCCAGATAAAAATGCAATATGTTACAATGTAACATGATGAACTTCCTAAAGCCATTGATTCAACTGAAAGAAAGAAAGAAAGAAAGAAAGAAAGAAAGAAAGAAAGAAAGAAAGAAAGAAAGAAAGAAAAGGAATTGGGAAAGACTATGTCTCTTTACCAACAACTGTACATTAAATTTTTTTCAGATGATAGATTGATTTTTCAAACCAGGAAGTAAAATTCAAAATTGAAGTTAGATTTAGTATTGACTGTTACAAAATCCAGTGATGTCATCACTATTACATATTTATGTGTGCACAGGTGGTGCAACAGTGATATATTCTACCTGTATTGATCTGCAGAGTCAGACCAGTGCAGTTGATCTATAAACAGCTTCTGAAACTTATTGTCCTACAAAATTAACTTGTGTATCTATTAAGGAGGTATATGTGATGTTAAAATGGCTTCCTGTCTCCTACTGTCAACGTTGAAACGTCAAAACCTTGAAGCATAAAAGGAGGTTTTTCCAAAAATGTAATGACACAGATTGTTGATTTATCAATTCTATCTATTTTCAAGGTATCTAATTTTTGTGATTTCATTTTGTCCTTGAAAATAGAAAAAAATTTAGAAATCTTTTCGATATCAACAAGTTTTACAGTTTTAAACCATACTTTGTACTCAAAATAAAATAACAAAATAAGTTGCATAATTTACAACCATTTCATTAAACTTTGTGCTTACAAGAATGTCCAAACTTTATATATACAGTAAGTTTGAAAGGAAATATAGTTTAAAGGAAAATTTTAGGGGAGACAACTCAACCACAGTTTTTGAATTTTGTTAAATTTCAATTCAATTAAAGCCAATACACATGTATGACCAAACTAAACAGAGATGAATTATAAAACTATTGTTTAATTTTTATCATCATAATTGTTTTCTGAACTTACCTGTAATATACCCAGAAGTTAGATAATATTAAGCTTTAGAAAATGCCAAACAAACATCTATAAAAATTTCCCTTGACAATAAAATAACAAGGTTATTGCCCAAGTGTATCAAATAAACTACCATTTGACTCAACAGGCATGTATTCAAACCAATTCCAAGAGGAACTGAACTGTTGTGTTGATTCTTAAAATACAAAATTGTCTCAAATACTTGTATCTAGTAGCTTCATTCTTTTTACTCTAACACCCAGCCCATATAATAGTTTGGTACTTTTACAGCCTTGGTGACACTGCACACCTTAAAACAAGGTTGTAGTATCTTCTTCATCTCTTTATATTGATGTGATATTGAAGCCACCACACAAGTAGCTAGAGTGTGAACCATGATCCACTACACAGTAACCCAGGACTGATACCCGTATGTCAAACACTGATCTGCTAGTGGCCAATATTACCATGGCAAAAAAAATAGTGTCACTGACCTTCGAGAAGACCCTTGTACCAATTCATTTCTGCGGTGGAAGGTGAAGAATTAGCTGCCGGTGGGTGCAGCATGTTGGCAGTGGCAGCTAGTCTTAGAAGATGCAAAGCTTTTCACAATGAAACTCAAACTAATAGACATTTGAATTTTTTGTGTGCATTTGTTGAAACCACTAAAATACCTATTTAAAATTCTGTGTGTACAGCGCTGGTAATTCATTGGAGGAATGCTGCTAAAGTTGTGTTTACAAAAATCAATATTATTACGTAACCCCCTTCCTACACACACTATACTGTCAACTGCATCGTGTGCTCCAGTTTCAAGTTTCCAGCATGCACACTGTGATGCAGTTTTTTCTTTTCCCATCAACCTCGTAACAGCTTTTTTCCTGCAGCCTATCCCTGATATTCCTATCTGTCTAACTGCGATCGATACTGCAGGCTTACACATCTCACAAACCTTAAAACTTTTCAAACTCACTTTTTAAAACATGTTTGTAATTTTACAAGGTTTGTTATTCATAAATATATTATATTATTGTTTGGTAGTTTAGGCGAGAACGTTACTGAATCATAATTCACAAATAGATACAATAAACATGAAACAATGTACTTAATACTGAGTAAACATAAATATGTTATTCCTAGCTACTATTTAACTCTATCTGTCTCTTTTTACTATCACTGTTTACACTCTTCTACTGCAGCAATGAACTATCGTGACAAAGTCTGCACTAAAAGATAAAATAAGACACAACATTTCAATTTATAGTAAAGGTCAAGAAATTAATTTCATATGAAAAAAATGGGTAAAAGCAATCTTAGAATGAGAGCCTTTAAGGACCCACCATTGATGTACAATTGAACTGACTTAAACTTTTTAATCTAACCTTTTTAAATTAAAATGTTACATAATGAATTTGATGCAAATATCTTGAAAGAACAAGAAAAAAAATCTCTTATCTTATCTTCTCAGGGTCATGCATACCTTTTCCACAAAGATTTCAAATTACCAATATATTAAATCTTCTTCAATTTTTATGATTCACAACCACAACAAGAAGTTGTGTAAGCATGCTTTGACCTTACATTTTTAACATTTTTGAAAATATATTTTTGACATTCATGGAGAAATGAACTTTCGAAGGCTACTTTTATGAATCTGTACATGCTTAATGATTGTTATTTTGCCTGTAAATGGTTCTGTTGTATGCCTTGACATTACTGATTTGAATTGACCAAGATGTAAATGGCGAGTGTAATCTATGAAGCAGAAGACAGTTACTCTTCTGAAACACCTGGTCTTATTCTCCTT